TTTGGGGGGGGGGGTAATTTCAAAATAGATGATTTAGGGGAATAACATGAAATATGAAACATTTGGGGGACTAATATAAAAAAGTCTTTCTTTTGATAATTAATTAAGGCACATGTGCTCTGCACGTGTTTGGGAGAGGGGAAAATGGGTAGGCATTTCACGTGCTCTTTGGGCTGATTAAGTGTGACGTGTGAAGGATGTAGGCGAGTAAAGGCAGTTTCTATCAAAAATAAAAACTGAAGGTGGTAAGTATCAAGTTTGCTAAAAGTTAAGGTAGTTTTTATCTAAAAATCCTAATTGCAGATAGACCCCTTCTAGCTCTGTTGTTACAGATAGACCCTCCGAGTGAAAATATTTAGACCCTTTTACACTCAAGAGTCTATTTGTCAAAAAAAAAACATTTTTCTCTCTCTCCAAGGGTAAAAGAGTAATAAAAATTCACTCAGGGGGTCTATCAGTGACAATAGAACTCGAGGAATTTATCCGCAATTAACCCTACATTAAGTTGTGTTATACTGCATAACATGACATAAAAAAGTTTCTTTGCTCTTTGCAGGCAACAGATTTAAGAGATTTATTCCTCAAGCAGATTTCTTCAGCAAAGGGTTGTACATGTTTGATATAGGGCAAAACGACATTGCTGGCGCATTCTATTCCCAGTCAGAGGACCAAGTTTTGGCTTCTATACCTGCAATTTTGTCAGAGTTTGAGACTGGACTCAAGGTTGTGCATGTACTCTTTAATTTCAAAGTTGGATTTTTCAATTAAAATAGTTAGGTAAACAAGTATAAAATTTCTGCGAACGCGATAACTCCTGCCTAAAGTACATTTGCTTAACACAGTGCTGAATATTATGGTACAAGCTGATTTATTAAGATTACGCAAAAGCTGAGACTGTCCTTGCAGTTTTAGACATTAGAAAATTCACCCAAAAAATCTCTTCTAATTATTTTCAATCAGTTGAGTATAATATCCAATGCATCTGTTATATCAGACCCCTAAATCTTCATATTTCAAAAATAGACCCCTCAAATCCATTAAGTTGTTTTGAATTAGACCCAAAATCTATTACCTGTTAAGTTGTTTTAAAAAAAGACCCACATTTAACAATATGAATATTTGAGGGTTTAAAATAGAATTAACAAAGATTTGGGGGTTTAATATAACAAAAATCCTATAATAAATATTTCTATGTCATGTGTATAGCTTCTTTATCCAATTTACTAATCATGAAAAAATCAACTCATTTTTCCTTTTCCAGGAATTGTACGATCAAGGTGCAAGGAGGTTCTGGATTCATAATACAGGTCCACTAGGGTGTTTACCTCAAAACATAGCTCAATTTGGTAAAGATCCATCAAAACTGGATGAGCTCGGATGTGTAAGCACACACAACCATGCTGCAAACCTTTTCAATCTACAACTTCGTGCGCTCTGCGCGAGATTGAAGGGCGGATTTGGAGATGCAAATATCACTTACGTCGATATCTTCTCCATAAAGTCAGATCTTATAGCAAATTATTCTAACTACGGTATGTAACATCTCATTCATGAGCCATTCATCCTCCTCTTCCATTTAAGGCCTAGGGGTGTTTGGTAACAGGCAAGTATGGAAAGTGGATCAAGTTTGCAATGTGTCTCAAATTTTCAAAATTTCATGTTTGGCAATAGTAGAGACGCAAACAACCCCGCCACTGCACCAAAACTATGAGATTGTGGTGAGGGTTATAATTTTATATGCTAACACATCCACCACAAGTTGAATGTCCTTTTTATGGGCTGAAACCAAGACTCATGCAACAATATCTATTTTTTAAAAATATGCTTTAAATTTGTGACCAGTGAGAATTTAACTTGGGTTGCTCTGGTACCATGTCAAAGGAGTTGTCATTACATCAAAACTCTGGAGTTATGATGAAGGTTGACAGTTATAATTTTCTGCGCTTAACACCAAGCAATCAAAAAGTGAATGATGCCACATTAGCATATTAACTCTACACTTTCTCCAAATTTTTGAGAAAGCAGATGGAAAATAGATGCAAAGTGAATGAGGAGGAAGAGAACTCTACTTTTTTTGTTCTCTGCTTATCATTTCTTTATAGATATTCACTTTCCACTGTAAACTATCTATAACAACCAAGCGAGAAATAAAGAAATTTAATGCTACATTAGCTGCCATCTCAACTCTTCACTTCCTTTATTTTCTATCGACCAAACAAATTTGCATATAGAAGTAATGAGAAAGTACATTCTCTTATTTTCAGGATTCGAGAATCCTATAGCAGCCTGTTGTGGGTACGGAGGACCACCTATAAACTATGACAGCAGAATTGGTTGTGGACAAACAAAGGTGTTGAATGGAAGTTCAGTAACAGCTAATGGGTGCAATGATACCACCAAATACATTAATTGGGATGGGATTCATTACACGGAGGCCGCAAATTTGCATGTTTCATCACAAATACTCACTGGGAAATACTCTGACCCTCCATTCTCAGATAAAATGCCATTACTTATAAAGTTAGAGCTGTAAAGATAATGTTCAAATGTTCCCTTTGTATCCTTGATAATATTGTTGATGATCAATCAAGTTTGATGTAGAAGCAAGTGAGACAAATGTGATGCTTATTTTCCCCCCCTGCATATACATAAATTGTTGGCTATTGGTTTTAACAATTGTCTTTTTCTGGGGTTAAATGCTGTATGCCAAAGCTAAGTTTTTAGTTATTTGATACAACTCAGTTGAAAGCTATTGGAAGAACATGAAAAAACTATAACATTATTGTGAATTTGCGTATTTTTAGTCCATCACTTTCTTGCAAATCGCTTGAACATCACTTGAACCTGCTGTATAAGATATCAACCATTAAACAAAACAGGACTATTTTAATAAAAGTATGTTTACCCTACTTCCTAGCTTTTGAATATGTGTTTTTCTATTTTTTCACTTCCATGATTTAACATTGTCGCGCACACATTAACATAGAAGTTAAGCATGAATCCTTGTTCTCTTCTAACCCCCTAATGTTTTTTAATATGCATTCTATATTCTCAAATACTATTAAATTAGAGATTCCCCTTCATTAATTTCCATGTGTCCCTATTCAGCTTGAAAATTTATGGTTATATATTCTTTAAAGTTTTCCATCTATGACATACAAAGTAACAATACCAGATATGTCCACGTATGAGTGTGCATGCATTCATGCCTGCACATTTTTGGTACATGTTCCATATGATGTGAGAAGTGTATTACAAAATAACATGATGATTTCATAATTTGGTGTTATAATATCACACACCTTTTGGTATATTACAAACTGATTCGTGCTGGATATACTTTGATATTAAGAAATATAAAATTTCTATCTGGTAGCATATATAATACAAGCACATAGGTCATGCATTTGTATATACTTTTTGTGTGCATACAAAATCCAAAAAAAAAAAAAAAAATCAACTGATACCATACGATTCATAAATCTCTGTGCATGTTTTTGAGTAATATATGAGCATAAAATTTTCAGTAACAATTGCTACACATAAATAAGCCTACTTCTTGGACACATAAGCATAGTATTGTGCCATTGGAACAACAAAAGCAATCACTAGCAAACCTCCGACAACAAGAGTAAACTGTCCTCGCTTCTCCTCGGTTTCTTCTTTGCTTTTAAAGTTGGATTCACGCTTGTTCTCCTTAAACGTCGGCCCACCAGGATCTGGTAGACCATCAATAGCTGCCACTAGACGTTTGGCAGTGCTTAGCATAGCTTCGTTGTACTTTTCATCTGTAGCTAAAACTGCGAGATGGAAGATTGATTATTTCTTTGGCTTTCTTTATTGAGGTTTTCAGCAATTAAAAGTTTTTTGGGGGTAAATTTCACAAAATTACAATGTATTTTGGAGGTTTTGTACAAAACTACCATGCCTGATGGCAGTTGGGGCAAGTTGTCATGTGCTCTAAACGTGCTCTGCATGTGACATGTTCTGGATAATTTTGACCTTATATATTTTATATATGTTCTGCATTATCCTCTCTCCCCCTCTTCTTCTCTTCATTTATAAAGATAGTTTAGACCGTTTATCCAAGACATTAAAGTTGATAGCAATAATTTCCAGTAGTTGGTACTTTTCGGGAGTTTTGAAAGCTAATGGTAGTTTTCTCTGATGAAAAAGAGTATAGTAGTTTTGTGCAAAACGGTTCAATTCATAGTTTTATGAAATTGATCCAAGATTTTTATTCAAGTCTCCACATGTATTCTATGACTTATTTCCCATCTACCTAATATACTAAAACAATACCCAGGATGCCACATGTTAATTTTTTAGAGAATTGGACACATGTCCATTTTTCAAAGAATTGTCATTCATCTTCTATGTAATCTATACAAATTCTAAACTTTCAAATATTCATACAAATACTAAAACTTTCATATACTATCATCCATCAATTAAAGCTTCCCAAATCTTATCTATTATACACAAATTACTATAAAAATTGTTGTTTGTAAAATTGAAGATGGTTATAATGTTACATCAAATTCACACCTTTGAAATTTCATAAAGCATTGAAATGTAACCTCTCTTAATTACCATTAATTACACTAATTGTCACCTATGAAGCACGGACACACATAACATGAAGCCGTGTCGTGTCGTGTCCGTGTCGAACACACGTATCCTATGTATTTTTTAGGATTTGCCTCGTGTCGGCGTGTCGGATGGCCATGTCGGATCCGTGTCCGTACTACATAATTTGTCACTACCTCATCAACTCAATTTTCACTAACGGCCAAGCCTGATCAACTTCCCCACTCTTTCTCAATTCATCTCCTCTCTATAAATCTAGCAAACTAATCTAGGTAAAGTATTCTTAGATTCCTTTCTTTATCATTAGCTCCAACTCCATAAATGATGCATGTGATTGTTGATAAGTATGCTCGATTTTGCTTTTCTTATGCATCCATCTTGCAGATTTAATGCTACACTCCATTTTATGAAAGTAATGTATCAATTTTGTTTGTGTATTTTTTGTTATTGGTATATAAATATATCCCTTTTGTTGCTTCTTTGTTTATAATTCCCCCCATATATTGCTTCTTTGTTTGTAATATTTCCTCTTTGTCAGTTATTTGTTTGAAATTTTTCTCAATGAGATTTTAATATCCAACTTTCCTAATAGCACGCTGAGGAAATATATTGTATGCAAAACAATATTCACAATAGGAGTGTAAATCGTTTGTACAAATTCAATTAATGGTAATCCGATATCACAAAATTATGTTCAATTGTAGTTTTGTTAATATCAAAGTTGATGAAGGTGCAAGTATGCAAAGCTTAAGTACCATGAACTTCGTGTATAATAGAGTACTTGAGGTAATTAAAATTTTACCCGTATCCTTAAGAAAGATACTAATATTTTATATATTAATAGTGTAAGTTTAATTTTTCTTAATCATATTTAAGGATTTATGTATATTTAGAATTTTTAATTGCTCAAGATACACCGTAGTTTGTGAAATATACCTATTTTTAGTTTAATTCTCATGTTCAGGGCTCAAGCTAATTATTAAATTCACATATCACAAAGATTGAGCAAGAAAATATAAAGTGAAAATTTTATAATTAATTTTAAAAAAATTACCGCAGTATAGCGCGGGTAATGACACTAGTTAATTTTAAATAAATAGGCTACTGACAGACTTAATCCTTTCACCGCAATATAACGAAAGCATGTGTAACAATCAAGCTTAGGTGCAATCACAAAAGAGTTCAACATACAACTTTAAAGGATAGTAAAATGTTCAATCCTGGAAAGAGGTCAATAGCTAGGTGCACCTACTTCAGTAACACGGAGAAAGAATTGCTGCAGATATCAATTATTGCCAAATAATTTAAACACAGTGATATGTAAAAATAGGTCAATGGAGTGGTTTAGAAATAAGATCATATTCCAACTCCAAAAGGATAACTAACATTTATCCCTATTTCCTCACTTTTGGTTAATTTCACAAATCCCCCTGAACTTTGGGGTTTTGCACATAACCACCTGAACTTTAAACTTTTCTTATTGTACCCCTGCCTGCAATTGGCAAATAACTAAAAAAAACCGAGAGGAAAAAAAACCCCTCAAATGGGGGAGGGGTGTATGTTGCTCGTCAATGAAAAATGATTAAAATTGGAAAAAAATTCTTGCAAGGAAATTTTACTTATTTTCCAGTTACATAGGCGCTGTCGCGCAGCGCGCATCGCGCGGGGCGGGGGGGGGGGGGTAGTAAGAAAATTTTATATTTCAGGGGGTTTAGTGCAAAATCCCAAATTTCAAGGGTTTATTTTTGAAATTAACCCATTTTTTCTATTTATGGTCATAACATTTATAAGGTCAATTTAGAAGCCAGAACAGACAATGTTTTAAATATCGGATATCGGGAAAATATCGGATGGCCAAAATTCATATCGGATTGCGGATATCGGGGAAATATCGGGGATATGTGGTAAATATCGGAATGCTATAATGAATGTTTGCATACATAGTATAACGCATTAAAATATAATCTCAACATATGTAATAAAATTTAAGCATACAAAATATGAATAATATATGTTTAGGATCGCTAATTAACCTTCTAAAACAAACAAAAGTGCAAAGCAACGTTGCAACATTCGATCTGCTTTTTTTAGGGAAAAATGTCATTTGATATAATGGGAAAATCTTGATATCTCGCCCAAAAATTCCAAACACGGTATATTATTTTGCAACAAGCTATATAAAAAGATATATTGATCCACATATCGGCTAATATATCAGTCATATCGGGGATTTATCACTCAAAATAGCCAAAAAGCGATAAAGGATATTTAAAGACCATATCGGTTGCGGCAAGCCCTGTAAAAGGATATATCGGGGGATATATCGGGCCATGTCGGGGATATTTAAAACAATGAGAACAGATAATTTATCTTTCATTAGTTGGTTAGACAACGATAAGGACTCCATGAACTTGCAAAAAAAACTCGCCAAAAAAGTGTTTTTACCAGGGAGATTCTCTGATACAGTAGCGTCTAGAATTGTATCTCCTACAGCTTGAATGAATGCTGGTCCTCCTGTGATTGCCCCTTCCTTTTGGCTGGTTACAAGCACAACTACACCTTTGTTATTGCCTTCTTCAATTGAGGGATACCATTTCTCCAACACTTGGTCAGCATACTCAAATGCATCTGCTTTACTCTGCATTTACGTATTGTAGTCAAACTGAATGGCTAATTCTTGGAACCTCAATTATCTTAACTTTCAACACCTCTACTATAACGGGACATATTAATCTAAGAAGACATGGAAATCTTACAAGTGCTATTTTAGGCAATTCCATTGTGAATGTTATATTAATTTCATGGTGATATTTCATACATTGGCCAAGAAGGAGAAGGATAAGAAATGTACATATCAATATGAAAGGTTTTGACCCTCTCATCGACACCACTAATATTTTAGTACTGACAAGCCAGATATATTCTTTTAATTTCAAGACAAAACCCACTATTTTGTTTTTAATTCTCTTTCTAAAACAGCTACAATGTTTAGGTGGCAACAGAGTACATCTAATTTTGAAAAAGAACCAATTATCCTCTACGGAAAAAAATTTCATGTCCGGAGGCAACTTATTCTAGAAAACTACTATAGAGACGTAGTCAAGAGATTGAATTATGTGGCGGGAAAAAGGCAGACGGTTTGTCAATCCATTTTATGCAAAACTTTGGCAGTTAACCCTATGAAAAGCCTCCTTATCATCTCAAATAATGTAACACAAGCATTTCAACAAACATATAGCAAGCGGTAAACTATACCGTGAGCTTCCGAAGGGTGATAAAATTAATGTGCAAGTTCTTCCTCGACTCAAGATCAGACATTAACCTCTTTAAGTCAGACTTAGTAACTCTACTCAGAACACCAGCATCATCAACAACATAAGTCTCAGTCGGCGGCCCTCCGCTGAGAATATCAAACTCCGAAGCGACTGCAGAGTCCAGAGGGCAGAAGTTAATGGCCAGAGAGAGTGCGGCCGCAGCGAGCCCGTGCTGGAGGTAGGAAATGAAGCTCTTTTGAGAGGGAGTTGATGTGGAGATAATGGGTTTTTTGAGGGATGAAGAGACTGATATGGGTTTTTGTTGTATGGGTTTTGAGAGTTGGGGTTTGGGGGTTTTGAGGAGAGCAGTAAAGGATGAAGGAGAGGAGATGAGGGTCTCCATTGTTGAGGGGAATTGAGGTGCACTGAGAGAGTGAGAGTATTTGATGGTTTTCTTTAATTTTTTTTTTTTAGATGTATTGATTTGGATTGAATTGGGTTTTGGATTTTGATTGGTTGGCTTGGTTTGAATTTGGATAAGGGGGCAGCCTTTTTGTTCTAACGTCCAATGAACGATTTTAGGCGGGGAGGGCATTATCGTCGTTTCCTATACTGAACAAATGACGAAAGTGCCCCCATTTCCCTATCTCTTGGCTGCGGCTCTCTCAAAGCTGAGAGCTTTGTTCTTCTTCCGTTGCTGTATCAATGGGAGATGGCTGTTCATCTCCTCACACCATTCTCCTCGCTTCCAAGAATCCCATCTCGAAACCCTAGCCCTAGCCCTAGATCTCCTTTGATATTCAGGCCAAATTGTGGGTTTCGCTGTTGCTGCTCATCCTCCAGGAGAGAAGCGGTTACTGTTGCCTCAGTAACCCTAGCCCTAACCCTAGCCACTGCCCTCTCTGTTAATGCTCAAACTTTGGGGGAATTGCCTCCTCCTCCTCCGCCGCAAAAGAAAGCCCTAGACGGGATTTGCAGCACAAAATCTTGGTTCCAGTTCTTTGGCGATGGATTCTCGATTCGGGTGCCGCCTCAATTCGAAGATATCATGGAGCCAGAGGTATAAAAGAGAACTTTTTTTTTATTATTGCTAATAAACAATAAGTAAAAATTGGGTTGTATTAATTTTTATGCTTCTACATTGCAATTTATTAACGTCTTAGATGCTAAGTTTTTAGCTATGTTCTCAACCTGAATTTAGTTTGGCTTTATTTTGTTGGTAGGATTATAATGCAGGATTGGCATTGTATGGTGACAAAGTAAAACCCAGGACTTTTGCGGCTCGTTTCGCCTCTTCTGATGGGTGTGTGACTCATAGACTTAGAAGCTCAAATTGTTATTTTTCTTTGCCAATGTTGAAGTGCTAAGCTTTCTTTTATCTGTGTACATTCTTTTATCCTTTTTTTATCATAAATAAAAACTCGCCTTCTTGGAACATAATCTCTGTTTCGTGTATATTGGCTTGTTGTTGTTGTTGTTGTTTACTAAACTTCTTTTAGCTTTAAACTAATTAGTCCCTGTCTAGATTGTAATCTAATTTAAAGAACTAAAACATAATGTGGAAAAATGTGATACGCTAAGGAAACGCCACTGGACCTATATATAGGAATATGATTATTAATAGACACATTTTCGATGGTTAAAATGGGAAAATGAGCGATGCATGTAGTTGGAACTACAGTAAATTGGTTGTTCAAAAGTGTATGAAAATCACTCTAAGTGCTAATTTGAGAGGGGAGAAGTTGGCCTCAACCCAATTCAAGAGGTTCATAAATCACAACACAAGAATCCTGTTTTCCCAAAGCTTCCATCTTTTACCCTAAACAAATTTCACATCTATCTAGTGCCTAAATTTATTAACTTCTCCTAAGCTTTTGATATCTTTCTGAAAACTATCATAACCTTTTCTGAAAATTTATTACAAACTTACATATGAATTTCCGGGAAAACATATCTATAGATAACTTAAAGAAAAATCCAAATGTACATTTGTAATAACTTCTTAATAAAGAACTTCATTATAGTTTTCAGAAAGATCAATAGTTTTTGATACATCCTTAAAAATTAGCCAATAGGTAGATGTGAAATTTGTTTAGAATGAATGAAGAAAACTTTAGGAGAACTGAATTCTTTTTTTGCTTTTGTGTTGTGATTCATGACCTATTGATTGTGTTGGGAATGATTCGGGCTTCATCCCTTGTCAAATTAGCCTGACTTCCCATGCACTGATCATTTACTTTATTTTGAATCATCAAAAATGTCTTTTATCCATAAGTATCAAAGTACGTTCTTAATAGTTTGTGTGGAATATGATTGTTAACGGATGATAAACTATAGCACTTGTATATTGGAATAGATATATAGGAATAATTTGTGGAACTTCAGCTTCTTACAATTCTTTTATTGAGAACTTTATCATATTCCCATCTTCTGTAGAAACATGTCCTGACTTCTGAGTTTATTAATATTCACTACTATTATTTAATATGTTTTTCATAAACATTACAGCTGTAGAAAGAGAATGAAAGAATTTTTATATCCCAATGCATACAATTAGGGGTGTTATCGGTGCGGATACGGTTCGGATATGTCACTTATCATATCCATATCCGCTTTTTATAAACGGATACGGATACGGATACGGATACGGATCATCTTCGGTAAGAAAAAATCTTAACCATATCCGCACTTATCGAAAACGGATACGGTTCGGATATTTGAGAATCGGATCGGATATGATCACGGATATAAACGGATATTCGACAAATGGATATGAATCAGATATGAATTAGTACACATATGCATAAATTACAACCAAATAGATAAATGTATGTAGTTGTAGGCTTCTCCTTAATTCACATATAATTAGAATTACTCTATATAGTAATAGATAGTTTCTAAAGGCAGTTATAGAAATGTAATATAAAACTTTCTGAGAATAGTTTCTTAGAATAGATTGTAAACAGAAGACTCCTCTAAGAACAGGCAGCAGACACACAACAACCAATTCTGAAAACAGTTACAAAAATGTAATATAAAAGATAAAGGATCTTTCTCAAATAAAATAAAATAAAAAATAAACCCAGGTGATTCCACCTAAATCTAAATAGACTACTTCATAATAGATTAAGTGTTGTCATTAAACATCTAACTCATAACCTAATAACCCAAAATGGCTCCTCCAACCAGCATTAATCTGAGCTAAATTAGAAGACTAGGACAAGATAGATGATATTGGTTGAATATTTTGGATCAAGACATAGAACATGGACTCAGTTTTTGGCTCTCATCATGGACATAAGAGATCAACCTTCACAGAGTTAGTAGGACTCTATCATGTAGTCCAGGTAAACATGCAATTGTCCTTCCAACGCTCTAAATCCATTACTCAACTTTTTTCACTTCAATTATGCACGTCTTATGGATACTCATTCACCAATTAATAGCAATCAAAACTTTACCTTTATGATAGCAATACAAACCGCTGGTTCACATGATCCTCAAGTGCCTTCCTCAGCAAAATCCTCTCCGCTTACTCCACTCAAGACCGGACACGCTCCTCCCGATCCGAATCCAACTCCTCCTCATCTACCAACACGCGCCAGTCTCCTCTACATAACTCCTTATATTAATCTCATCCGAAAACGCTCCAGGCCTCTTCTCTCTCTAAACTCCCTCTTCAGCAATCAATCACAGACCTCTCCTCTCTCTCTCTCTCAACAATCAACGATGGCGAGTTCGAGGTCGAGTTCGAGCGGTCCGCAGTTGACGGATGAGCTTGATATCGTGATACGCACGATCCGAAACCTTGATCTCCTGGAGATGTGGAGGCCCTTTTTCGAGCCGTACAATCTGATCATTGTTCAAGATGGGGATCCCACGAAGACGATCAAAGTCCCCCGAGGGTTTCGACTATGAGCTTTACGAGGGCTGGAGGCGGTGATTCACAAGCCTAGGGTTTTACTTTTTAGTTGTAGTTGGGTTTTGGGTTAGCGGTTACGGGTTTGTATTTGTAATTTTGGGACCCAATTACCCGAACCATTATTACATTGCGGATATCCGTATCCGCAACCCTCATATCCGTATCCGAATCCGTATCCGAAAAAAAATCCGAAACCGGATCCGTATCCGAAACCGTATCCGCCCGGTTTTAAAATTAGCTTACCATATCCGCATCCGTTCGGATACGGATGTGGATCGGTTCGGATATATCCGAACCGTTTGGCACCCCTACATACAATGCATGTTAAATGCATCTATGATACGTGTCAAAGAAAGATTAGAAAACTGTCAAAAAAACATCTGGAATTTAAAAAATAATTTATGAATCTAAGAAAAATGACTAGCAAATATGCAAGGACTGTCAAGAGTGGTTGTGTCATATGCTTTTGGGAGTCATGGCTTCAACGCAAGTTTTTCCATGGTTCAAAATTCTCGGTGCACTTCATGATATATCTATCTTGTGATATTTTTACCATGTTGCTCAAGGCAGTGTATTATACATATTATGGGTTTTTGCAGGTGGATCTAGATCGGTCTTTTTTGTTGTATAATCATTTTCCTTGTGATGTAGATCAGAAGTTTTAAGTGTGGTCATTCGTCCAACAAATCAGCTCAAGATCACTTTTCTAGAGGTTTGTGGACTAATTGTTTGGTCTACTCATTTTTCAAGTAAACATAGAAAAGTTTATGCTTACGTTTCTGAGTGAAATGGTAGGTAAAAAACCCCTATTTTAATTAACAAGAATTTAATGAAACATGCCAAAAGATTACAAGTGACTCCACACACTAAGTAAATGCTGTTGAACTTAATATAGGTTGTTATTGGTCAATACTATAGAGTCGCAAATCTCACTTTTTTTTATCAACAAGTACTAAATTATTAATATTTTAGTTCCTTCAGATCATTATTCTATTTCCAATGCACAGGCCAAAGATATTACAGATTTGGGATCTCTTAAGGAAGCAGCTAAAATTTTTGTCCCTGGTAAACATATCAATTTTTTGTTGTAATTTCCAGTTGTAATGAGCTGCTCCCTTTAATTTTGTAATCTTTGTAACTCATGAGTTAATATTTTTCAATAGGAGGTGCAAACTTGTACTCTGCCCGGGCCATTAAGATTAAAGAAGATGAAGGTTTCAGGTAACTGTAAGTTCACATTATAAACATGTATTCTACCCATGCCTTTTGTTTTAATTTGTATAGCTGTAAATATAGTAATACGTTTTTTGGAAAGAAAAAAGAAACAAATAGTGGTTGAAAAACATATGTAGAATATAGTCTTAATAAAATACTAAAGTGACAGCATTCCTTGTATGTCAGCTGCATGTGATAGAAAAAAAGGTTTCAAGCTCTATTCCTGTGTCTTGTTCCAATGCATATGATCTCCTTAACCTGTCTTCAGGGAAATACATTATTGTATATAAAGAATTCATGATAAATCTTTTAAAATAGGGGATTTGTTGTTGCTCATGAAGGGTTGGTTGCTTTCAGGACTTACTACTTCTATGAATTTGGAGATGATGTTCAGCATGTTGCTTTAGTTGCTGCTGTTAACAGTGGCAAGGTATTTATGTTTCCTCACATCCATTCTTCCTATCTATTCTGCCAAATGACTGGATTTCCTCTGTATATGTTTTAGTTTCTTCGTTTTATCAGTGCAGAATCAAACAGTGATATGGAACACTTTTTCTCTCCATCCATTATGAGGCAACTCATGTTGTGAAATTTATCTAGATTTATCTTTAAACTCACCAAACTAAGACGGTAAAAAATTGTTTGTTGTATGCAAACTGTAGGGATTACTAAATGCAATTATATGTCTGCTTTAGCATATACTGCAATATCTCCATAAGTATGAAGAAATGCCCAATCCAAAGAGCCCTATACTTTTATTTGTTCTCGCGGATTGTATCCAAACACCCTGGCTAGGCATCTATTTACCTGCATCGCCTACTTGATTGTGTCATAAGATTTAGTGCAGCATTTTGTATTTCCTTGATTCATTTTCACCCCTTTCTGCACATATAAAGAGAGATAAAACTAGAAAAACTACAACATCGAGTACTTCCTTAGTTTGTAGTAAATGTAGAGAAAAGGAGCTAGTGATAACGTAGGTATTTCTATGCATCAACAGGCAGCCAATTTTTTTGGGAAACCCCTTTCCCTCCCATACTGTTTTTGTCAGACATTTAGCTTTGGTGTTTAATGCCTGAATGCTATATGAGGCTTTGGTATACCCTAGTTTCAAAAAGTTACTATCTTGTTGAGCTGCACTTTTAATAAACAGTTTTGATATCTAATGCCAAAATATTCTATAATGTTTTCTTTTCACGTGAGGATCAGTTAAATATCTACTGCTGCCTCTAAACTATCATTTCCCTTCATATCAGGCATACATTGCTGGATCAACTGCACCACAATTTAAATGGGAAGATGATGGCGTCAAATTACGTTCTGCCGCTATATCCCTTGTAGTTTGATAAGTTCATTGATTAAAACATTTGGTGCAGTGGATGCCTGCATAATTTTCTTTATGTAAAGAGAGCTGCCCCCCCCCCCCCCCCCCCCTTTAAATTATGACCAGTTGAGAACATGCTCATGATATCTTGTGCGCAGGAAGAAAGAACTACGTAAAGATATTGTTGGTGGGAACTGGAACTTAATAGCCTTGAGATTTTTTTTTATTATTCATTTATTTAACAAGCATAGAAATGTCTTCAACCTTGTTTGTTATTGTTTCTTTCGTTGTTTCTGTCGTTAGCAGAGTTGATGGTTAAAGCGTGAATATCTTTACTTACTAGATATTTCCCTACATTTTTGTTCCTGTTTCCCACTTGTAGCATTACTTACTGGTAACGTAAACAACTTTGTCAGATTTCGAAGATCGTTAGGTCGATGTTCTTTGTGAAAAAATGATGATAGAACATATTCTTGTCGCTTCAATTACAACTTTTTTTTGCCTCAGTGTGTTGAAAGTGTTAACTTGCATGTCCTTTTTATGCAGGGAATCTCTTAATCCATGACATGTCCTAGTGTTTGCAGCGTCATTTCCGTTAATGCTATGGAAAAAGCGCACGTATCTGATTCTTACCCATCATCTTTTCAAGAATACCTTTGCTGCATGCCTTTTGGATGCTAAAGAGAAATATTCGACCTGTTCAACTCATCTTAAACAGGGTTTTCAACTTTTGTTCTCATTCTTTGCAAACTTTTTCCTGTTTTTTGCTGGTTATTGTATGTAGAATTCTGGAGTCTAGACTAATATTTTCGGCTGGAACTCAAGTATAAATCAGATAGTGAAGGGTCGCACTTGTCTGAGTTCAGGTGGAGCGATGACATAGCAGATATCAACTGATATGAAATGTGTATAAAAGCAAAGAGGAATATGATCCCAAAGCAAATAACACATAAGAAACTTCCCTCCCAAAGTAATCTTTCAAAGCATCCGACAAAAGCAAGGCATTTCACTTTATAGATGACCCTCTATAGAAAATTATATAGGGAGAAAGGAGATAGCTACAACTGTCCATTACATATTTTAAGGATGATAATTTATACAATATTAGTGATTGCACTGATTTAGAATTGACAGTAGAACATATGTCATGATCTCCTTCCTATATAATTTTAGATAGGATTGCTTTTATAGGATTTTTCTTCTCTAATATTAAGGCAACATATAAATCCTATTGAGATAGAGGGTGAAGACACTTGATAGTTGATAGCGATGTGTGCATCGAGATCATGCTAGATTAGATGTCTTCATTCCCTATCTCCCTATACAATTCTCTATAGTAGGCCCTCTATATGATTTTTGTCCCTAGCACTATGTTGAAATTAATTATGAGAGAAATCAAAAACTCTTTCTAGAGTTATGTTGATTTCTTATATCTATACTACTACCCATGTCAAAACTTTAAAAAAAAATTCCTATTTTTCCCTTTTAAATTTTGATAATTCGCTATTATACCTTTGATTATAACTAATTCTTAAATAATTATCCATAACTCTTTATTAAATGCACCTCCTACTCTCTCTAAGAATATTTGGTCAAGAATAAAATCATTATAAATAGCTTATAATCTAATACTACATACAAATTGTTATGTCTATATTTAGAATTCTATAATGTCAATGTTCACTTTTTGGTCTATCTTAGTTGCATGTTGGGGGGCTTGCGACTCTTCTCTCTAAGAAGTTAAAACGACTGTATTGGAGGGACATCAAAGTTTAAACCATGAGAGGACCTGAGTTTTGTAGAAACTACCTAATGTAAAATTAGAGAATGGTGCACTTCATTCTTTATTGCTTTGGGTCTTTTGAGCATCGGCTGCTAATGAGTCCAAAATTTCAGCTCAAGACTATGAATTTCTTCCAATCAGTCACAAAATAATATAAGGCAAAGTTAATCAAATAATTATAATAACAATATGTAGAGTCTAGACTTTTAAAATTCAATTTGAATCAATGCATAAACTATGAACCAAATTAACTAACAAACAACCCTTTTTATTTTTATATAACTTCTCTTTCATCTCTTGAGTGTAAATTAGTTCATATATTTTCTTCCACTCACCATAATACCTACTAAGTCAAAACCATACAATTACAAAAAAAGGTAAATTAGAACTCCACTTGGATTAGAATAGAAAATTTAGCAGAGCACAAGATGTCGACTTCTTTCGAGGATCAATTTTGCTCAAGCATGTGTTAGCATGGTATTTTCCTTTATAATTCAATTAGAATTTTGAAAATATGTTTCGAAACTTGATTATTGTATAAATGAGTCAATTTGATACAATTTAAATTGGTACAATCAATTTGGTGATTAGTTTTCTTTTTGGAGATATTGGGATCACTCAAATTTCAAAATGTATTATAAAAAGACTAAAATGAACAAATGTATCTTAAAATCTCATTAGATTAAATATTTATAAAATTCAACCCCCTAAATGTGTTTCACGGTATAATTTGAAAACACATTGTATAAAAAAAATCAATGATGTTAATATCATGAAGTAGGGGCACGATTAGGAATGCATTAGGCTAATTGTATTATCCTTTTGATGTTACAGTGAAAAGTACAAAATAAACTTTCTTACCATGATTTCAGACAAAAAACATTAAATAAATACTACAACCAGCATACTTACATGCATCAAAAATAAATGTTATATTTTTATTATAAATAAACCCTAATTACTAAAGTGATATATTCTTAAGCTTTGGCTTTTTTACCTTCTAATTAACTCGTTTTATATGTTACAAAATTTTATTTATTTCTCTTGTCTCTCCTTCCAACAATCTGACTTCTATTTCTGAGAAACGAAGTGCTTGGGATGACATTACAGATATAATAGATTTCTATGGAAATGCTATCACAATGATTCAATGCCAACTTGTGAACTAGAGATTTATAAAATACATATGAATGACATAATCAATCTCTCTTGTAATTGTCACGAAACTTCAACAAGTGACAAGTCCCTTCGCATGATATATCTCCATCAATCAAACATGTCAATTTTAGTTTTAAGTTTAAGAAATTTATTTGGGAAAGCTCTTATTAATTAGCATTTACTTAAATAGCTTAAACCTTAGTGTAAATTGAGCAAATATGTGTCTCTCATCTCTAATATTAGATCATCTTTTAATATTGCTATTGTGTTTACAGAATAGGTTTGTCCATGCATAGGGTTATAATTTTTTTCACTCTATTAATCCACATCAGGTATCTGCTATTTAGTAAATTTGACCCTCTATATCTGTATGTTTTGTTTCAGCTTTAAATGCTGATGATTAATATAGACTTTGAGAAGGTAATTAAATTTGAAACATGATATGAATTGGTTCTTTTTTATGTCTCATTACCCTACAAGTTCAGGTCTTCCAGCTATTGACCAATCTAATTATCTAAGAATCCTATCACATAAATCTCTTATTACGTTCTTTATGTGAGTTTCATGTGTTGGGGAATTTTAGTCTCCCCGCCTACTAAGATTTGCGCAACTTGGAAGCCAACCCACAATCAACAATATTAAAATAACCACAATCAAGAGAAAAAACACTAGGATTTATGTGGTTCGGTCGACCAACTTCGACCTACGTCCACGGGCAACAATACAAAAAATCCTCTATGTATCAGGGAGAACTATAAGAGGAACCACTCAACTCATGTCTCTCAATCTCTCAACCTCACTACATAATCAACTCTCATATTATCTCCAAAGCCCTCTCCTTACAATCTTTTGAATGGACAAAGAATGCGAAACCCTCTCCCAATGATGTAATCTTTTGCACGGACAAAGACTACGAAACCCCCGCCTCTCGTACAATATTCTTGAATCGGGCTACGCCCTCTGCTAACCCTAGATTATAAGAAGATTGACTCTTTCTCCTCTGCTTGGTTTTTCCTCCAACAATAAAATAATATATATAGGAAAATCAAAACCCTACCTTTAGCCTAACTTCCTAATTAGAATAAGATTCAAACTCCTAATTATGATGAGACTCAATCTCCTAATCATGATAGATCTCTAACCCTATCTAATTCTTATGAAGTTATACAAAGAATCAAAGACACAATCCCAACATCATGAATATTGGTAAAATCTAAACCAACTTGATTACATGAATATTGGTAAAATCTAAATCATCGATTCACTTCATTATTTTACGGTTCACATTTAAAATTTTTAATACTGAACAAGTATACCCACGTGCAACGCACATGTACTTTACTAGTCTAATACTATTGTAAAAGTGGATTGGTATGTTAAAACATTTCTTCCTAGAGTACCCTCCAAAATACATGCATACATGAATAGAATACATACATACATCTTCCAAAACACATGCATACATAAATAAAACATATATATACATGAACATACATGCATACTTAAATGAGAAAAATTATTATTTTTTATAGTTATATTATTAATAATTTTCTTAATTAAATTCCTTTATGGTCTGCATTTAATATCTAAATGGCCTCTTCCATCCACTCTCTCCATTATTTCATAAGTCCTTTCAATTCCTACTGTTACTTTTATACATGAAAGTCATTAATTAAAATATTTTCATCATCCCTCCCTGTCTAAGAAATGTTCTCATGCGTTTAGAAATTGTAAACACCTTCTCTCTCTTGCAATTATTACTAGAGTGAATTAGTATAAAATATGCAATTCACCTTTCGCTTTTTTCCCCCCGTGGAGCTGATCAAAATGACCATTTTCTGGCTATACTATTTTTCGTTGAGATTTTTGAGCTCCTCCTCATTTCTCCGAAAAACGATTAGCTGGGTTGCTGGTTTCTTGGATAGGACATGTATTACTTTGGGTTATTCAATTTATTTCCATCTAATTATCAATCCCTTCCAAGTCTCTAGCAAATGCCAACTCTTATGAATCCTATTATTATGCACTCTACTCTATTATTCAATCTTCACCATATACTTCTTTCTACACCCAGCCAAAGTGGCGAAGATTGAAGAGTAGGTTAGAGTGCATAATTAAAAAAAAACACGACTTCTATCTGTATCTCCAAATAATTTCTATGATTTAAAAGTAAGCATCAAGATCGGCCTCAAAAATGTTTCTGTATGAATTGTTAGGAGATTTGGAAATGGAGCCAAGGAAAGATGACCAGGAAAAGGATCCAGCAAGAATTATAGCTTCAGGGTTTCTCATAGGGTGTTTTCTGGATCATGATTTATTGTATGAG